GCATTTTAACTTCTTTTTCTCTTTTTTTTTTTTTTTTTTTTTTTTGGAGTGAGGAAGCTGTTGAGAGAATATGGGAAACAGGGGAACTTTAACTTTTTTTCTGCAGACACTCTGCTGTTTAATAACTTCCTTGCAACAAGCACCTCCGGCATACCAAAATTTCACTGGCTATTTTCTTACACATAAATAGCTCTTTAGAGAACAAAGCCAGCATTAGATGTTTGCTACTTTTGGGCCCTGAACTTTTCCTACCCGTAATCCCACCGAAGAAGAGCCCCCAGTGGCTGGCAGTCCCTCAGGCACTGGCCAAGGCTCTGGCAAGCGGTAGCTGCGGTGTGGTGGGCGCTGTGGGAGAGGATCAGGTTTTGGGAAGGAGCTGAGACCAGTGTCAAGTTATGAAGTGCTGCTGTTTGTCTCCCAGTAGCCAGGAGAAGAAACAACAATGAAAACAACATTTTTAGGCTTTCTTTGTAAGAAGTGAAATAATATGTGGACTGCTCCCTCTCACCACAGAAAGGTCACCTTTGAAAATGGAGAGCACCTGTCCAATGAGCATGGCCATTTCTTACTATTTTCTGGATTTTTTTTTTTTATTGTTTAAGACAGAACTTGTTTCTGTATGAAACCCTTGGGAAAGCAGCTAGCTCCAGGTATGCAACACGTCTCTCGGGAATGGCTAACTTTTAAATGTTGCAACAGTACTTCTAGGGCAGGCAATGGCTAACTGGGATTCCTCGCTTACTGGTGGCAAGAGAAACACCACCTGAAAGAAATGCACAGAATTACCAAGACAAAGTGAAGCTGAAATTCTCCAAGATCTTGAAAAGTTCCAAGGTCAGGAACACTGCAGGGGTGGAGGAGCACACATACAACAGTACGGAGCTGGAACAGCAGCAGGAGAGAATCCCTGAATCCTAAGCGCCCTGAGAGAGCCAAGGAGGGTGTGCTTTGATGCATGTAAAGGCTTACACTTCTAGATTGAAAAAGGCACTTAAAATCTTTAAATAAAGACAAATAATGTGGTGATGTTCTCCTTCTTCAGTTCTACTGTCAACACAGTAGGAAAAGCATCTGTTGCCAATCACAATCACAACTACTTCTAATTCCCAATCTCCCATACATACGAATGTAACATATAAATCTCTGCACCCATAAAATACATATTTGCAAGCCTGTTTGTTTATGCACAGATTTTTTTAAAAACTGTATTAGTTGATCCAGTTTCTTCTACCACGGCTGGAGAACTGCAGTCTGTTACCCCAACAGGAATTGTGGCAGCTCCCAAGAGGCAGGCCAGCAAGAATAGTAAGGGAAGGCTACCAGCTGGGTTTTTATGAAAGAAATACCTGCACAGAGTTTCACATATGCTTTGCATTTTCTAACTTTGCAAAAGCATTCTATGTTTCTTCACGTATTGTGAAATCCAACATAAATGGTGAAATCACATTTTAATGAAGCATCTCTGAATATATCAAATTATAAATGATAGATTGATATGTTGTGTTAAATGCTGTTAATTGACAGTAAGTGACCAGCTTTTGTGAAACAGTACAATTTTAGAGACCTCATACAGTTTTCTAGTAGCCCTAGCCTGAAAAAAAAATTTGCTTGCAGTGAATTTATTTTGAACTACTGTACACTGAAATAAAAAATTAGAATTAAAGGTTGATCCTGAATTACAATAAAAGCAATACTTTAATGAAAAGTTCACACACTTTTTTTAATGTAACCTGAACTTAGAACTGGACTGACACAGATCATATTTCCATGTAAAAACCCATGAAATTCTAGATTTTCAGCTGCTGTGTGTGGTATGAGACACGTAAAGACACTCAGCACCTTTTGCCACTGAAAGCGATGTGCAATGTCCCAGTGGAGCAGGACCTGATCCAAAGAATAGTTTTCTTTTGAAAAAGACATGTAAACCCCACATTTTTCCATACCTTCTGTGTGCTTTTTTACATTACTGACAAACTCCTTTATTTCCTACCCCATTTCTTCTGTCAGCTCTGAATCCCCTATGGGATTAACAGGGAGCAACCTGGAATTACGCTTCCCTTCTTGCTCATGACAAAATGGCTTACAGTCCTAACTCCGGTCAGGTTGTTACGGTGTGAAACATGCCACAGCCAGCACTTTCACTACTCCTGACAATGACACACGGTGCAGAAGAAGTCCAAATAATTGACTCTCAAGATGCTGCTGGTACAATTCACATTTGAAATGACTTGTACAATCCAGTTCCTATTGTAAAGTACATTTTTTCTAATGAACCAAAAATAACTTCAGCAACACTACTGCTCCCTTACACCTGTGAAAAACGAGAGGAGTAAAATCATCTCTACCATTTTTCCCTTTCTGCATCGTCTTTTGCGTAGAGGTGGGAAAGCCTTTCAGCCAGAAAACAATCAGTAAATAACACCGCTCACCCAGTTTGTAAGGACATGCATAGATTAACACCATACTTACTACTCCAACAGGGAAAGCTAGAACAGCCATCACCCAGTCACGGAGGGAAATGAGTTTTTTCAGCTGCCTCTCTTGCTCTTGACTGTCATTTCCTTTAGTGAGAAGACTGGACAGGTCGGTCAAGACACAGATCCCGAAGAAGACAGCTTGGATAACCTGCACAGAAGGGGAACACACTCTTGAACACAGAGAAGACCAGACCTTTGTCAGAGAGCAAGTCAGACACAGGTGCGTGTGATGAATATTGCCAGGGAATTGACGTGGGGAGAGGGAAAACATCAGTCCCTTAAAAATGGGTAGAGTTTGTTCACATAAAAGCCACTTAGACTTCTAGACTGAAAGCCCTGCATGCACCTTGCTCCTCATGTATGGGGAGAATCGATGGGAGTGGAAGGACCGTTCCAGAGGTGGGACTTCCCAGCCTCACCTCAGACACGTGCCACCCGCTGGGGACTGAACTGCAGCCACCCCTTCCTGCTTCACCCCATACAACTCGGCCCCAAAGCCATAGCATTCGCCTCTGAGGCGGAAAAAGTGAGGAACTCTCCCTGTAAAACGAAAGGAAAGGGAAGAAATGAGGGGTTCTTTCCCTTGCGCCAGGAGGTCTCCCTTGGAGACCCTGCCTGCCCCAGACGCTCCACCCAGAGGTGAGGAAGGTGCCTGAGACTTCCTGAGAGATGCAGAACGTGCCCCGGGCTGCGGCGAATCTATCACTACTTCATCTCAGGTAGCGAACAACAGAACAAGCAAGCTGCAGGGGTTATTCAAGCTTTCTTTTCATGATGGTGGACTGTCATTTACCTGCCTTTTCCTTTTTTGCATGTACGTATTTGTGTGCAATATCGTAAGATTATCTGTTATATTAAATTGGTAGTTTAATCACCTGAACCCACTGATTCGGTTCAAACTTGACTTGATCTTAGTTTGATCACTGCATTTTTCTTCCTTAATTAGGTTAGTGAAATTGTAATAAGTTAGCTCAGGAATGCTCTTGCCTGAGGAGCTGCGCATCCTTTCTAGTACAGTTCAGACGAAGTGCACGCAGCCTGTTTACTCCCCGAGCTGGAAGCCCGGGTCACAAACCCACACGCATCAGGTAATCTCAGGTAAAAAATTAACAAAACACGGGCTTGGTTCCCAAATTGCACAGTGATTCATCAGAAAACATAAACATATGCTTAAAATACATACTGCATGTTTTTCAAAGTAAGCATGGAATACTAGTTTAGAAGTCTTATTTGTAAATTTAAGTGTTCCTCTGACTAGGAGTCGCTGACTAAGCAGCAGACCATCCATAAGGAATAAGAATAGCACATACAGAGATTTTGCAAAATACAATTATTACAATTATGTGCATACATCTTTGCAGAATTTAGACTATAATAAGTAATGTAAAAAAACACCTTAGCCTAGGGGACACTGATCTGGAATACGGTGGGGGGGGGAGGGAGGGAGGGAAGGAAGGAAGGAAGGAAGGAAGGAAGGAAGGAAGGAAGGAAGGGAGGGAGGAAGGAAGGAATCACCAAATAGACGTTGGCTACTAGAAAGAAATCCAGAGATGTATAATGGTTGGATGGATTAAAGCACATTCCCTTGCTCAACTATCCTTTTATGACCCAAATACTTGTAAATTCTGGCTGTAAAGCTGTGAATAACAGATGTTCAAATGGCCCCTGGATCTGCTTGCAATTCTGCTGCCATTGCTCTCCCCTCTCCAGGCTGTAGCTACATATAATTTGCTTGATAAATAGATGAAGCAACATTACAAAACATTCCATGAAGCCATGAAATGTGACAGTGCTAGAGCTGTATATTGTGCTAGAAAAAGGTATTACTACTTCAAATGACTGCCTGGAAAAGTTACCATCTTCTACATAATTTCTGAAAAACATTTTATACAAAAGTTGGGGCTCCTTGGAGCTACACAATTACATGAACTCCTAATGCACTTTTTCATATTATTTGTTTTTCAAACAAATTTGTTTCACAAGTACTTAGTAGGAAAAAATCTTCCCATACTCAGTCCTGCTTTCCACCAAACAGATGGCCTATTTGGAGAAAAGGAGAAGAAGAACTAATTATGCATTTGCTTGACTTAAGAGGAGATATGATACCATCTACTATTCACTCAAGAGTGTGAATGCCAAAGAAGGAAAAAGATTTAAGACAGGACTGGAAAAAAATGTATACCTAACAGTAATGAGATCAATCTGGGTGTTAAAAAGTTTAGGCTGAGTACCAGGAAATATTTCCTAACATTGAGCCCTGTCAGACCATGAAATAGTTTCTCAGAGGAAGTGGTGGAAGCCTCATGGCTTGAGTCACTCAAACCGATATTGGACAAAACACTCAATAATGTACTGCAGGGAACAGTATAACGCTGGCAGGGCTTGGACGAGTGACTAATGAATTGTTTGCAGCTCTAACTATGATTCCCTGAAATGGTCTCTCTCCAAAGAAACACAGACTCAAACAATCACACGCCCACTTTCCAAGGGAATTGAGATTGTACATCCACTAATCAATCACAAACCGAACAGCTCCTCTCCCTGTTATCCTGTTATGAACACACCACTTCAAGGGAAAATGTAATGATATCATCGAGAATAGCTGAAAACTCCTAAAGGGAAAGAAAGTACCCAAAGATTTCAGAGAGTAGGTATCAAGTAAACTATTCTACAAGAAGATTAACAATAAAAATCCATATAGCAAAGAGAAAATTACATATTTATTGAGAACATTCAGAGCCAATGAAAAAATCATATAGTGTTCAGGGAGGAACAGTTCCAGCTTACTCATATAAATAATGTACACACATTCACTCTAATACTTCCTTTCCTTTCTAGAATGTGCAAGAAAACTCTTCTGACACCTATCAACATTTAGGATTAGACTGAGGACCTCCAGAGCTGCATGAGTCTCAGCAGCATAAACTGAACAGCCAGAGTCAGTAACGTACATCCTTTGTGGGTCTGGCATAGGAAAAGCATAGCACGCAGCTACTGGTGGTTTATGGTATGAAACGAATTTTTAAAGTCCATGCACCTCGGTGTGAATGCTGCTTAACAGATGTGAAAAGTTGACAGCAAGGGAGTAGAAACTCCTGCTAAACAGTATTCTTCAAAGTGCCCTGGTGTTACCGCAGATTTAGGATCACATTTTCAAAACATGGACCTTCTTTTGAAAATCTGCAGGTGGTGAATCTATACATGAAACATCCCCGAGATGTTAAACAGTTGACTTCTTTTTTTTTTTCCCCTTGGAAATGTAAGCAATAACAGCACTTCAGAGGAAATATCTTCCAATTTTGCCTCTAACTAGAGTATGAAGGAAAACAGTGATTTAGAAAATGACAAATACAAATTTGACAGAAAACAGCCATACCTTCCTTATACCATGTAACAGTGATAGAAACAGAAACTTGTAAGGAGAGTATGCAAACCCAAGAAAATCATTAAAACGGGTATAAAATACTAACTTGCTGCTGACCCCATTTTCTCCATTGAAGCCTAGAGGGGCCACTGCTACTACAGTTGATACTACAGGACCCTTAAGCTGTGATAATGTAATGACGAGTAATGGAAATGGCCATCTACAGGTATTTTAGTAATACAAAACTGAACAAAGAAAACATTTGTGTGCTGGTTTTGGCTGGGGTAGAGTTAATTTTCTTCACAGTAGTTAGTATGAGGCTATGTTTTGCATTTGTGCTGGAAACAGTGTTGATAACACAGGGATGTTTTCGTTATTGCTGAGCAGTGCTTACACAGAGTCAAGGCCTTTTCTGCTTCTCACCCCACCCCACCAGCGAGTAGGCTGGGGGGGCACAAGAAGCTGGGAGGGGACACAGCCGGGACAGCTGACCCCAACTGACCAAAGGGATATCCCATACCGTATGATGTCATACTCAGTAATAAACAAGGGGGAAGGTTGGCTGGGGGGCCGCTGCTCAGGGACTGGCTGGGCATCAGTCAGTTGGTGGTGAGCAATTGTCTTCATTTGCATCACTTGTCTTTCTTGGGTTTTATTTCTCTCTGTTATTTTCCTTTTCATTACAATTTATTATTATTATTGGTGGTTGTTGTTGTTATTGTTATTATATTTCCATTACTAAACTGTTCTTATCTCAACCCATGAGTTTTCTCACTTTTACCCGTCCAGTTCTCTTCCCCCCATCCTGCTGGGGTGGGGAGTGAGTGAGCGGCCGTGTGATGCTTAGTTGCTGGCTGGGGTTAAACCACGACAACTTATTAAGTTGTTGCCGGAGAAAACAGCTAAGAACAGAAGATGAAACCAAGCAGCCCAGAAACCTTCTCAACCAGTGAGATCTATTCAGATTGTATATCAGAAAAGACTGTTCCTTATGAACAATTAGAATAAAGTAAACTAATTGTACATGTCTGTCTCCTACAAGAAAATAAAGACTTGCTTCAGC